GTGATGTTCTGTTTTATTCTCATGGAGGAAAATAAAAGGATTATTGTCTGCACAAACACTGATGCATTGGGAATGGAATTTGGGAGCAAGTACAAAGGTTGTTCAGCTGTTGGCTAGCTTCAAGGCAACAAGGACTAATGATGCTTTCTGCAAAAAGATAGGGCCGGGCATGATTATAGCACTATTAATATCAGTATTGATTTAAAAAAAAATAGTGTGACAATTCCAATTTCATTTAACTGTGTATTATAAAGGTTTGGGAAATAAATGGACTGGTGGTCAAGAAAGATTTATCATCTGACTAATCTGAGACATTATCATTAGGAGCTGTGCTCATTGCAATTAAAAGATACATCTGGAACTTGGTGTGGATAAAAGTACTGTTACAATGTGATGTCCATCATTTATTAGCACATATTAACATTACCATTTTATTTCTTAATGTTCCCCTTTCTCATTTTAAGGTTGTTTAAAGGCTGATTTCAAAATAGGTGACTTTTAAAAGAATATCCTAACAATGTTGCAAAATGAAAAATGTAGAATGCATGCAAAGTGTGTTCATCTAGGCATCTTGAGATTGCCTCTTGATGGGAAGTTGTAAAATTGATACATAAATAGCAGCAGAGGCACCTTAGCAGGTTCCACAATTTGGCTGAACACTTAGAAACTGGAGACTGTGTAATTAAATAAGAAACCATGTGCTAATGGTTTTACTCTTGAGAAAATCACAGCTTCCTGCTTTTTAAGGCTTTTTGGAATCACTTTTGAAACAGATGTTCTTCCCATTTTTGGAACTCAAGATTATAACCTTGGTTAAAAGCAGGAAGTGTAAAAGTGGGTTTTAATAAATAAATAAATAAACAAACACTTTTGCACCTGAACTCTTTTGAATCTCCAAAGGCTGGGAACTGAATTTTGGGCAATTGTTCAAATTGGCACTTCATCCTCAAAATCACTTCACACATCCTTACACACAATCAGTTGAGTTTAAGGCTAGTGTTTCAGTCTCAACTCTCAATTCCCTGCTCTGAAGTTTCAGCCAAATTCTTAACTGTTTTGTGGCTTGGACAACATGAACTGCATGAACAAATTGTGATGTTCTACCTGTTTGACATTCCCTCTCGACTAAGCTATTGGAAATGCTACAGAAAGATCTGAGAGTACTAAAAATCACTGGTTACCATCAGTGGAGTGACAGTTAAAGAAAACAGACCAACAACAAATATTCCATCAAAATGCAGGACAGCCTTCCCCAACCAGTTCCCTCCTACAGATGTTTTAGAACAACAGCATGCAGGATTCCAATATATTTTATATATTTATATTTCAAATTTGGTCACCGCCCATCTCACAAGGAAGTGACTCTGGGCAGTTTACAATAAAAGCAACAAATAAATCTTAATTAAAATACTATAAAAGCAATGGTAACTGAAAATCCTGGGATTTGCAATCTCAAAACAGCTGGAGAACACTATGTTGTGAAAGTTATTCTAAACTACACCTTAGGCTACTCACCAGCAAACAGGGATTTCTTTGTAGACATATCAGTATGGAAAAAAAATTGAAAATTATAGATTGATAGCATTGGAAGGTACTACAAGGATCATCTAATCCAACCCCTTGCAATGTGCAAGAAAACCAATTGAACTATCTATGAAAAGTGGCTGTCCATCCCTTTAAAAACCTCCAGAGATAGAAAACCCATAGCCTCTATAGTAGACTATTCCACTTTTGTAACTACTCCATACTTTCAAATCACAATATGCTTGCAGTTATATTGAGTGTCCTGGAGTTAGTGACAGAGGGGAAGTGTTAAGCCCTTACTATGCTAATTTAGAATTAGATTGGTATTTTCTCTCAGATGTAGCTGATCAGTTTAGACCTTATCAATAGAGCTGTGGCAGCCAATCTTGGATATCATGGAAAGCAGTTAGATACTTTATGATGGATGAACTTTTTACTGTCAGAGAAAAAAAAAACACTTGTAGGATATTCTGCCTTGCTTGTCAAAATAACTTGGTCAAGAGGAGCTATAATGCATCTTGATTTGGGGAATGGAGCATTGCCATTTACTGTTTTGTCTCAAAAAGCATCTTGTTTTGTAAAGGGTGGCTGTGTCTCCTCTTTTACCGAAGATAGTCCCCTCCTCTCTCTGAATGGCTGTTAGAGGACATTCTTCAATTTGAAGGATAGACTGTCCTTCGAAGTGTAGTTTAAAGATAAGCCCATAACAAACAAGAATGGGGGCCTTAAAGTGTGCATCAAAGATGAGCTCTCAGAGAGCCAAAGGTCATCCAATCCTCATCTTTTCAGCTATAGTGAAATGAAAAATAATCATTATTTCTAAATGCACTTCTATGCATATGCCCATTTGATGCAAAGTGCTATCCTATTTGGGATTCATTTCCTTGTTTTTGGCAATGAGTAACAGGGCAGCCTCATCTTAAATGTTTACATATTATGCTATAGATTCTCTTCTAATTGCCTAACAGCTTCCATTCCTACAAGCATGAGAATTGTTACAGAACCTGCTCCCTAGCATAACACACCGCTTCATCTTGCCAAGAATGTGTAGGACATCATTGGCAGTGATTTGCCTTTTGCTCACAATCCTTTGTTTTGCTTTAATGAAATGGCTGTGCCATATTGTGAACTATGATGATGAAGCTAATAGAGACCAGAAATGATCCAATGGCAAAATGTTGAAATTCAACCTAAGAAATTTGAGATCAGACACAAGTGCATAAGATAGCCTTAGGGATGACTGTCTGCTAACTCCCAGTTCTTTCATTAGAGCAAAGAGGATTGTAGCAGTTGACCACCCAGGATGCTGTGAGAATTAATGGACTAATCAGTTAAACCCCTTCCACAGATTAAATGTGTTGCCCAAAGAGATAGCTTTTGCTTAAAATGACCAAAAAAAGAAACTTGGTAATCACTGTTTGCTAAACAGTCAGTAAAAACCCAATTTAAATATTTTTAATATTTGAGACAGCTTAATTAAAAAAAAAATTGCAGGAAGAGGCCTCCGGTGGAGGAGGTCACTCCTGAGACTAAGTGAGGAAAGTAAATTATCTCTGAAAATTAATCTCCAGAAAGTCTTTGGAAATTAATCTGCAGAAACTGGTTTCATCCTTTAAAATGGAGGGAGTAGGGTCCTTAATCTCTAACCTTTCAAAGTGAAGAGTTTCAAATCTCATTTGTCCTAAGTTAATTAAACTAGAAAAAGCCAGGGTTCTTTTTGCTTAGAATGTAGCTGGGTTAGAATTAAACTGCCAGCAACAGGTCAGAATATAAAAGAAAATATGCATGTAGTTTTCATGGGCTCAACAAAGATATAGCTGTCTAGAATACAAGGCATTAAAAACAGTCTGTAATAAAAATAATCTCTTGAAGCAGGTAGAAAAGAGCAAGACAAAGAGACACTAAATGCTGTCATCTAGGCTATACTGTATGGGTATTTGCAGCCCAGATTGGCTAGCGCTGATGTAATCAAAGATACCATATGTGGCTGGAAAATACATTCTGAAGGTATGTGGTGCAAAGGAGCAAAAATCAAATCCACCCCACCAATATCCTTTTGGGGGAGGGGAGATTAAGGCTGAACAGCAGTCTTGACCCTCAAAATCAAGATAAATATTAGCTAAATTGGCATATACAGCATAAAATTCCCAAAGTACCTCTCCTATCAAATCAGAATGTTGCTGCATCTTCAGAACATTCCACCAGATTCTGCATAACAATAGGGGTGGCAAGACAAGAGTCCCACATAAAAAGACCTGGTGTAATCCAGATGTTTTGATATTACAAATTCCACAATTCATCTAAGAATTCTAGATTTGTAGTCCCAACAGATCCAAAAGGAATCACATTGAGGAAGGCTGTTTTATGATAATGTAATCTGGATGTTAAAACAAAGAATCCCTGTGTGAATCTTTTTAGAAAATGTTACAGAGGCGGTGTTGTGTGGCTTCTGTTTTCAATTACGCTCAGCCTCCTTTCTTAAGGGGGTAATGTTTTCTGTCCTCAGTTTATCTTTTGGAAGATGAGACAGCAGATAATCTAGAGGGTATAAAAATTTGAAAAACATCATGGATAATGTGCATGAAGTTGGCACATTATTAATCACTCAGGCCTTTGGGGTAATTTGACAGTCACAGTGGTGCACTCTCTCCTGGGGCTTCACCAAACTGATGTTTCTACCATATGGTGTTATTTATCCTTCCATTCCTAAGAGGCAAAATGAGAGTCTGTATGAGCCTGTTTAAAGTACTTCATGCATCATACTAAGGGTTACCGAATCACAAAATTGTAAGATTCAGACATCTTAACAGAATAGCTAATCCATATCTACACAGAGATAGGTTTAATTAGGGAAAAGAAAAGAAAAAACTCTTAACAGATATTTAATCAATGTTATTTTGAACTGATCCCCTAATCAGATGGTCTTCTGATGTGTAGGATGATAGCCCACCCAACCAAGGAGAAGATGTGGATAAATTTGTTTCTAAAAGCAAATTGCAGATATTTTAGTATTGGGGAGGGACTTTAATTACCCCCTGGTATGTATTGGGATGTCAAATATAGTTCTTCCAGGAAATTCTGGACTTGTCTTGTTGACAACATTTTCTTTCAGAGAAGGGAAAAATGCACAAGATCAGTTTCCTTGACTTTATTCTTACTAATAGGGAAGATGTATATGACAAAGTAGATTTATTGAGGGAAAGTGACTATGTTATGCTGGAGTTCTTGGATTTAAGAGAAACAACTAAATGTAACAAAACATATAACTTCATCTTCAAAAAAACAGGTGTTAATAAACTTAAAGCATATGGCAAGAGAAGGTAGTAGGATAGGATCTCAAGACAGGTCATAGTTCCCACCCAAAAAGGAGAGACACTAAAAGTACAATTGCAAACAATATAAATGAGGGGGGGGGGGGAAACAGAGGACATTTATCAGAGAATACCTTGTTACTCTGAATTAATTTAAATCTCCAGGACCTGATGAATTGCATTCTAAGGTACAGGAGGAACTGGCTGGTGGTCCGGCTGAACCCTTATACGTTTGGGAAATTCTGGAAAAATGGTGAAATGCCAGAAATTGGAGGAAAGCAAATGCTGTCACTATCTTCAAAAGGAGGATAAAGGAAAATCCAGCAGACTGTAGATCAACCAGTCTGACATCAATCCCAGGGAAGATTCTAGAGGAATCATAAAGAGATAGATCTGTAAGTATCTTGAAAACAATGCAGCCATTACCAGCATAGATTTGCCAAGCAGAAGTCCTATCAAATGAACTTAATCTTATTTTTTTAATTAGGCAATTCCCTTACTACATGGTGAGAATGATCTAGACATAATATATCAGTGTTCATCAATGGTTCCTCATCAAATTGGAGAGAGGTATCAAGTGAAGTGCAACAGGATTTAGTTTAGTGTCCTCTGTTCTTCAATATTTGTATTAGTGACTTAGATGAACAAGTGTAGGAAATACTAATCAGCTTCACAGATAACACAAAATCGGGTGGAACAGGTAACATTCTAGAAGATAGGACTACAATTCAAAACATTTTTCAGTAGGTTAGAGAAATGAGCTGAAAGCAACAGAATTAAATAAAATGCACAAAATTCTCAACTAAGGAAAGATAAATATAAGGCACAGATGTAAGAGATACTTAGCTTGGTCAGGTTACCTGTGAAAAAGAACTTGAAATAGATTTGAGATGCAGATTCCATTTCAAGTCCAGTACTCAGCACCACAATGTGAAAATCTGAAGAAATGAAGTCCAGTGAAGAGAGATTTAAGGAGTTAGTGTGTTTAGCCTTAATAGAAGACTGAATGAGGATATGATTGCACTCTCCACATACCTGAAAGGATATCACACAGAAGAATGTCAAGACTTATTCTCTATTGCACTAGAGTGTAGACATAAAATACTGGATTTCGGTTGCAAAAAAGCAAATTCCAACTGAATGCATGCAAAAAAAATCCTAATAATAAAAGCAGTTCAACAGTGGAAATGATGACCCAGAGAGATGATGAGAACCCCTTTACTGAATGTGTTCAGGCAGAACCAAGACAGCCATCTAAAGGGATGCCTTAATCTGGATTAAAAAAAAAAAAAGAATTCTTGCACTGAGCAGAAGATTGGACTTGATGGAAGTAGGCCTTCCAACTGTATGTTTCTATGAATTCCCATCTGCATCTCCACCGGAACTGACACACATCTGGATTTCTCTATAATTTGTCTAGAAAGCATGTATATGCATAAATACAGAAGAAAGGTTAACAGGCCTTTTTGATTAAGACCTGCAATCTTATGAAGAGAAAACATGTTTTATTCTCTTCTATATTTTTGCATATAAGGCTTTGCTATCTAAAGTCTTGCTTCCAGACTTATCCTTCATTTCCTGACCAAAAGCCAATGAACCTGCTGAATAAACATTTTCAAACATTGCCAAAGGTTTTCAGAGTCCATAAAATAAAAAATAAGATCCAGCTAAATGTTGCAAATACTCTTTGCATTGTTCTTCAGTTCCAAATCATAATCAAGAAATCTTTGTATGTTGCCATATAGGGAAAATGGAAATATGAGAGCAGAGTTTCTGGGATGGATCCTTTAACCAACTTTGTATATTATCATCAAAAATTGTGATATTTAGGATGCTGTTTTTCATTGTATGTATCAAAATGATGACTAGAAACCAAAAGTATATTCAAGCCAAAGGATAATATAGATCTAGGTAGATAGTATAAATGTAAGTAAAAACCATTAGCCTACCACAACGAGACATTCTTACTGTTGTAAAAATCAAGAATTCCAGTGAACCAGCTAGCCATTCCCTTCTCCAGCAGACCATTACATTCCCCCACCCAGTTTTCCATATTTCTTTTTCAACTGAAAGTTGGAAGACGTTATCTGAGATTTTTTGTGTATCTGTGGATTCCAAGGAAGTGGTCAGGTTTCTCAGGTTGAGTTCCACCACATGTGGGCTGAATTATTGTTCCTCCTAGGTTATTAAGGTTGCTAAAGGAAACAAGGAAATGTATTTAAAAAGTGATGAAATTCTCTTTGAAAGACTTGGTGCTATCAGCCTTGAAAAAGGCAGTGTGTGCCTCCTGCTCAAAAAGCCATCCCTCAGTCTGGCCATGGTAGACAACTTCAATCCCGTGTATAATAAAGAAGGTGGTAGGGCAGCAGCTACAAAGAACTATAAATAAGTGGATTATTTAGGACCCTTTCAATCTGGGTTCAGGGTGTGCATGGGATGGAAACAAGATGGGTCACTTTTGTCAATAACTTGCAATGGGATCTGGATGGGAGGAGTGTGATAATTCTGATTCTGCTGGATCTCTTCCACTGTTAATTTTCAGCAATTAGTATTTCAGGCATGCTGCCTATGAGAGTTTTTGAATAGCTAATTAAAGGCAAAGCATGAATAGAAACCTGAAAGAATCAGGGGGTTGGTCCACTTCACTTTCTTTCTAGTTTCCCCTCCCCCGCTTTTTTTTCAGGCATGCTGCAAGTGCATAGCAGTGCTTCTCCAGTTCAGATTCACCCTCCTACTTTGTGATCCTTAAGCCCAAAAGGAATTAAGAAGAAACTCAATGATGGGATCATGCTGTAAATTTCTTGCAAATATTTAAAAGTTCCTATAGTAATCAGGATTAAAGCAGCCATAAGCTTATAAATCAGCCAGTAAAGTGGGGTGTGGATTGTAGCTTGGAAAACAGGGCCAGCCCTTCCATAATGCATGTGAAACTTTTCCCTCAGGTAATGAATTACCTTGCTGCTAGGTCAGCCACTGCTACATTTTTATAGTTGTTAGCAGCAGCAGCCCCACCAGCACCAGAGTAAGCCATTGGACAGGCGATCCCAAAACATCTTTCTGCTGCTAGAGCAGAAAATCTGCCAATGCCTCATTCTGAGGAGGCTTCCTCAATGTGAGGCATGGAGGACTCCAGACTGAACCGCTAGTTATTTCCATAGTGGGGCAAATACAGTTGCAGGAAAGTAGCTCATCTGACTCTCTGGAATTACTGGCAGGCCCAAATTCCTCACTTTTGAGTCCTTCCTCAGAGCAAGGTATCATTGGCCAAATGATGGTGGAGATGGCCTGTTCAGTCTCTGCATCCACCTGACCCCACAGTACATTGATCTGAGGGCATAGCCTTCAGAGGAAGATAGACAATATCTCTCCTGCTGGATGCTTCATTCAGAAAAGGTGTGGTGGGGAAGAAAGTGGCATTGATGGCAGAAGTAGCACAAATGCTTTTGCCACTGCTTGTAAAACCTGGAACCAAGGAGTCTTGTCTTTCCACTCAGAAGATTCCAACCTTCTGTAAGCATACTACATTTTTATACTAGCCAGATGATTAAACAAATTAGCACTCCAGCAGATATATTTTTAAATTTTATTTACATTTATTAACAATTAACAATACAATAAAGTATATGAAGAAGCAAAATACAATCATATTGAATTAGATTATTTGGGAATCTGGAACTGGGTAGTAGACAAACATTATGTCTTTATTGTGCATAAATAATCAGTTTAAACCAGATGAAATAAAAATCATCTTCTGTATTATCATAATATTGCTGTCTTTTGGGGGGGGGGGTAAGGTCAATTTTTCCATTAGAGCAATTTAAAACATATTTGCCACCATATGTTCAAATAGTTTTCTTACTACTACTGTCTGGCTGCAACCAATAAGAAAACTATCAACCCTTTTTGTTTCAAATAATTGTTTGGAGTATCAACAAAAACTTAATAAGGCCAGCTTAGGATCTAACATAATGGTCTGTGTTATAATTTTTCTTGTTTTAATAAAAAATGTTAGTCCAAAAAGACTAAACAACTTTACAAGACCATTACATATAATATGAACCATTTTCTTTACATTTCTTTACACATGGGGATTATTATTATTATTGATTAGATTTATTATATATGTTGTTGAGTTTCCTTGGTGTTAAGTTGATTGATAGATTATGTGCCATCAAGTCATTTTCAACTCCTAGCGACCACATAGATAGATTTTCTTCATAGAAATGAATAGATATCTTTTCCAAATTTTTAACACATTAAGAAATGATATTGATATGATTAGCGTCATAATAAGATTTAATATTTGGAATTCCAATGCCTCCTTCATTAGTGTTTTTATAGAGAATCTTTAAATTTATTCTTGCTTTTTTGCCATTATATATACATTTATTAATAATTTTATAAATGTTGACTCTTCTTTCATTTTCCTGAAATAAATAATTAATGGCTTGAAGCTCAGTCTCAATAATTTGTCTTCTAGTTTCTTGTAAAATCATCTTTTCTAAAAGTTATGGGAAGAAGTAAATCATGCATAGCTCTGTGTAAAAGCAGGGGGCATGGTTTTGTCTTTAGAAAACATTTTCAGTGTGTACTTCTATGCAACGAAGAGATTCAGGCCAGAGCGATAATCATGACCTGGCTGGTAAAGAACTATTGGGAAATTGCCATGGGAAGTTTGCAAGACAGCTATGGTCCAGGCCTGCAAACAAGAAATGTGGTGTTTTATGCTCCATATTGCCTAATCTACACATTTAATTACTCTGAGTTCTGATTGGATGCTGTGCAGAACTCTTCATGGAAGATTCAGATAGAAGCATAGGGTCCCATCTGATCAAATTGATTTTGTCCAGACAGCTGTAGCTTCAGCATCATGACAAAAGAGGAAAAAAATCTCTAAAACAGTCTGAGTCTTTACACTAACACAAAATAACTATTCAGGGACTGTGATAATCCAAGGGCAATAAATCTGTAAAACTACATATTTTTGAAATGGCATAGAAACTGCAGCTGTGCCAATTGGCAGAAGATCCTTCACCATAACACCTGAAGGTAAATATACATACAAAAAGATTATTCAGATTATCCTTTTGCAACATCCAGTGGCCAATTTTCATTCAAAAATCAGAGAAAAGTATTGAGCAAGTAAAATAGATGATAGCCCCAAACCCTCAGGGATTACAGTAAACTGAAGAGGATTCTCCTAGACTGATAGAACAGTCATGTCTTACTTAATAGGGAGTGGACTGAACTTAAATGTGCCATCATTTTGAACAGCTTCCAGACCAAGTCTGATTTAAGGAGCTATAAGAGAGAGCAGGAGGGGTCTTGAAGTTGCAGGTCAAGGGTAGCACCTGGAAAAGGCACAACAGTGACTTGGCTAGGATCTGCTCAAAAGCTGTTTTCATTTCTAATGCACTGCTGGGCTGATCTTTTTTCCAATCTCATTTGAAGCTTTTATTCTACACACATTCATAACTTTAACACAATATCTATAGAGTTTTCTAACACAATAAACATGGGTTGGGGATCAGCTTACTCACAAAACCTTGGTGGTAGAACACATACTTTGCACACAGAGGTTATTGGTAAGGTTACCATTTGTCCAGATTTTCTTGGGTAGTATGAACCAACCCCTCCAAACCCTGCAATCTCTCACACAGGTCCAAGGATCCCATCCAACTCCCAGTCGTTCACCAGCCACTCCCT